CGCCCAGCATTACTGAGGCTGACATGAGAAAGCTGGGGGCACATGCTTTGGGAGCACTGCCAGGCTCACAGGGATGCCCACCCAGCAGGCGCCAGCCTGGGCACAAAGGAGATGCTCTTGGACCGTGGAACGGTCCAATACATCCCGGTTGCTATGGCCAGGCCCTTGCAGTGGGCCGAGTCGAGTTCCCCCCTGCACTGCCTCTCTGTGCCTCAGCTTCATCTGGGAACTGAGAATCCTTTCAGTGCCCACTCTCGCTGGCTGGTGTGGCTCCATGGTTGGGTGTTGACCCATGCACCAAGAGGTCCAGGTTCGATTCCTGGTCAGGGCACATGCCTGGGTTGAGGGCTCAGTCCGCAGAAGAGGGTGTGCAGGAGGCAGCCGATGGATGTTTCTCTCTCTCTAAAATGAATAAGACATTTTAAAATATGTAAAAAGAAAAATTTTTAGAGGGCCCACTCTCCTTTGGAACCAGAAACCGAAGTATTTAGGCTTCCTGGTATTCCCGTCTCCAATGTCCCTGCCCAGGACCTCCCACCTTGCCTGCCTCTCCGCTGCCAGGCAGGGAAGCACATTCCGTCCCGCACGCAGGAGGCTCCGCGGCAGCGAAGGGACTTGCAGTGGGCCGAGTCGAGTTCCCCCCAAATGCAAAATTCAAGTCCATCCAGAACCTCAGAATGTGACCTTATTTGGAAATAAGGTCTTTACAGATGTGATTAGTTAAGGATCTTGTGATGAGATCATCTTGGATTTAATACCGGTTCTAAGTCTAAAGACTGACGTCTTCCTTTGAGAAAGGACATAGGAACACAGGGGGAAGCTCACGTGGAGACAAAGGCAGAGATTGGGGTGATGTGGCCACAAGCCAAGGGATGCCGGGAGCCCCCAGGAGCTGGGAGAGGCAGGAAGGAAGTGCCTTCGGAGGAAGCATGGCCCTGGTGTTAGGGCTTCTAGCTCCAGAACGGAGAGCGAATTAATTTCTGTGGTTTTAAGCTTCTCCCATCCCAGTTTGCGGTCATGTTATGGAAGGCACCGGACACTAAGACACCATCCAATGGGTCAAAGTGAAGACTGAAGAGCTTGTGTGAATGAAGTTTCTTCAGTGGCTACTTTACAAGTCAAATGAAAGCATTTCCCTCTGGGCGTGCAGGAAGCAGCCGATCAATGTTTCTCTCTAATCACTGATGTTTCTCTCTCTCTCCCTTCCTCTCTGAAATCAATGATATATATTAGAGGCCCGATGCACAAAAATTCATGCAAGAGTAGGCCTTCCTTCCCCCGGCTGCTGGCACTGGCTTCCCTCTGGCATCCGGGACCCAGGCTTCCCTCGCATCCCTGGCTTTGTCTGGAGGGTCATGCAGAAGGACATCTGGACTACTTAGTACATTACGCTTTTATTATTATAGATATATACCTATATATGAAACAGACAAAAAGCCTTTTCCTCTGAAAAAGCTGTTATGTGTGGTGGCTGACACCAGGCCTCTGGGATCAAGCTGCCTGTGTTCAAACCCCATATAGGAACCAGCTGTGTGGCCCCAGGCAAACTGCATTGCCTCTCTGTGCCTCAGCTTCATCTGGGAACTGAGAATCCCGATAATACCCCCTTTTAGGATGGGAGAAGGGGCAGGTGAGCCATTCACATAGAATGCAGAGAACAGGGCCCTGCCCAGGCTAAGCCCCCCAGTACGAATTCACCATTTACCCTAATTAGCTGACTTGGATTCCGATTGCTGAAACTTATCTCAAAGAAATAATTTAAAAAGACAAAAAGCAAAGATGTTCAAAGTGGCAGCATCTACAAAAGCAACAAGTAGGAAACAACCCAAAGACCAAGTCGTGTTTTGTTTTAGTTTTTTTTTACTCTGCACCTGAGGACATTTTTTCCATTGATTATTTTTAGAGAGAGTGGGATGGGAGGGAGGGGGAGAAACATCGATTCGAGAGGGACACATCGATTGGTTGCCTCCCGCATATGCCCTGACCAACCTGTAACCCAGGTACATGCCCTTGACCAGGAATTGAACTCGAAACCCTTGGGTGCATGGGCCGACGCTCCAACCACTGAGCGACACCGGCCAAGGCCTCAAGACCAACTCCTGACAGAACCTTAATGACGCAGGCATTAAAGAAACTGTGGAAATGATGCCGCCTTGGGCACAACAGCACTAGCACCGAAACATCAAATAAAAAAGAGACAAAAGATGGTGCACAGAACTGCACGTGCCAGTGCCGACAACCAGGTAAAGCCATACCTGCTGGCAGCCGGGTGAGAGAAGGCCATGGCCAACAGTGAGGGTCACAGCACACTGAGGTGTCCTCGCATGGGACATGTTCCTCATGGGGAAACTGAGAACAAGACCCTGCAGAGAATGTTGGGCATCAGGGCTAGGGGGCCGGGTTGTCTCGGTTTCGCACAGAGGGGTTCTATGCCCTGCCCTCCCCTCCCCCAGGCACACCCAAGCCTGTGTTGGCCGAGGCTGAGGGGAGGGCTGGTGGGCCGGCCCCAGAGAGCTGGCCATGAAAGATGGATGAGCAAACCTGCCTGGTACTGCTCCTGCAGTCCCAGCACTTAGCTCCGCAGGGCCCGGCCGGAAGGAGCCCTTTAGAGCCTCGCAGCCCAGGAGCACTCAGCAGCACGCTGTCAGGCTTTCAGTGCCGGGTGGGTGGGGGTGGGGGCCGTTTCCCAGGGACTCTCAGCATCTGCAGCTCCCGGGTCTCTCCCCAGGATGAGTCCCCAGCCCGCCCTGGGCTGGAAGGGAAGTGACCCCAGAAGTCCTGTTAGGGGCTTGTTTTTGTCAAGGATGTCCTGACACAGCAGCCAAAAGTGGAAGCAGCTGAAACCGGTTTGGCTCAGTGGATAGAGCGTCGGGCTGCGGACTGAAGGGTCCCAGGTTCGATTCCGGTCAAGGGCATGTACCTTGGTTACGGGCACATCCCCAGTAGGGGGTGTGCAAGAGGCAGCTGATGGATGATTCTCTCTCATCAATGTTTCTAACTATCTATCCCTCTCTCTTCCTCTCTGTAAAAAAATCAATAAAAAATATTAAAAATAAAAAAGTGGAAGCAGCCTGGGGTCCATCGGGGGATGAATGGATGAACCATACACACGGAATAGTACTCAGCTTTATAAAGAAAACTCAGACACACGCGACCACATGGCTGGACCCTGAGGACTTTATGCCGTGTCACAAAAAGACAAACACTGCACCATTCCCTAGGCGAAGTCCCTAGAGCAGTCAGATCCAGAGACAAAGCAGGATGGGAGCACCAGGGCTCAGGGGCGGAGGGTAGAGGGTTGGTTTTCCATGGGGAGAGACTCAGTTTGGGAAGATGGAAAAGTTCTGGAGGTAGATGCTGGTGATGGTTGCACAAGAACGTGAATGTGCTCAATGCCACTGACCTGTGCACTTAAGACAGTTCAAGCGGTGACTTACGTTATACACCGAGGGGCCAGATTATGATGATCTCTGAACGCATAATAATCTGGCCACTCAGTGTATATCCTATATAATAAGAGGCTAATATGCAAATTGTCCCCTGAACTAGGAGCTTGACCAGCAGGCAGGCTGGCCAACCACCCATGTCTCCTCCCGCTGGCCAGGCTGGCTGGACCCCACCCATGCACAAATTCATGCACTGGGCCTCTAATACACACACACACACACACACACACTGAGTGGCCAGATTATTAGGCATTCAGAGATCATAATAATCTGGCCACTCAGTGTATTTTGCTACAAAAAACAAACGAACAAATAAAAAGTGTGTTCTGACCACCTACTCTGTGCCAGGCACCGGGGAGACCCGCAGTGAAGTCTAAGGAAGAAGGTTCTGGAGCTCTGAGGTTTGGTCTCTGGACCCAACCTTTGGACCTGCATCCCCCATGGATACTCACTCAGCAAGCACCGCCCCCAACTCCTGCCCAGGCTCAGCCTGGAGCCTCAGAGGGACCAGGCCCCGGAGGGACGAGGTTGTTTAGGACACTCCAGCACCCCACGCCCCTTTTGCAAGCAACATGCTGATTTTCTCCAGGGGAACCACTGCTCCCTACTTGCGACCCGTCTGGGAGGCATTGTCCATCAAGTTGCCCCGCCCCCCGCTGAGGGACAGGCAGGAGCCCTGAGCTGGACCAGCCAGAGGCTCTCCTGGAGCTCACTCATCCCAGCTGAGGGCCCTGAAGGAATGGAACCTGAAGGACCTGGCCCTTCATCCCGGCCAGACCTTCCAAGCCTCCTGACTTCCTGTGGCGGAGGGAAGGAGCCAGCCGGCCCCAGACATCCAGGAGGAGAGTCAGGGCTGCTGGCACGCTGCCTGTGGGAGGGGTCCCCAGGGAGACGCCCCCAGGGAGACACCCAGGGTCCAGGCTGGAGAGACGTGGGGAGCACTTGTTATTATGCAATAACGAATGGGCTTTGAGGGGAGGTCTCGGTGTGGGTCACATTGGCCTGGGTGCCCCTGGGTCATTCCGACTCTGTACAGAAAGGTCTGGAGCACAGGACAGAGGTCTGGGCTGCCTCTGCCAACACCTACAACCCTTCTCAGTGATTCTGTGTCCTTCTAGAACTTTCTCCTTGCTGGCTTCCCCCCCCGCCCCAGCCTCTGGCAGGCCGAACCTGTTATCTGGGTGATAACAGGCCAGCAGGGTGGAGAGCAAATACCCTGGGCATGCCTGGCACCCACTTCTAGAGCCTCTTGTCCCTTACTCCCCACCCTGGAATTCATGCCTCTGCGAAGGAAACTGAGGCCCAGAGGGCGCTGCCACATTCCTCACTCAACTGCCAACCAAAGGGAGGGCCTGGAGGAACCCTCAGAGTCAGAGCAAGCACTTAAAGGGCGCCTACTGTGTGCAGTGGGAGGGTCTCCTCCCTCCTCCCTCTCCACGGCTGCAACACTAGGGGCTCAGCTCTACCTTCCCACCCTGTCCTGCCCCACTCCTCCCCGCCCCCCACTGCCACCCCCTCTCGCCCCACACCAGAGCTGGTGAGGGAGAGCCTTACCTTTCAGACAGGACAGCTTCAGCCCCATGTCGGTGCCTCCTGCCTCCAGCGGCCTGCAGAGAAAGGAGAGGTTTGTTTGTATTGGCCACGTGGGCCCAGGCCCCCGCCCCCAGCCCCGATGGGTGCACAACAGGAAGTGGTGGGGAGGGAGCCAAGGCCTCCAGGTCACGGTGCCTGCTGACTACATCTGGGCTCAATTTGCTCAAAGCTGAGTCTGTGCCGGCGGAAAAAACTTTCAGGCGCCTCAGAGCTAAATATACCGGAGGCCGGCTGCGGTCTCGGTGAAGGTGACGGCGAGGGTGTGGTCGGGGCTGGCGAGGCGGAACCCGCATCACCTGGTCTTCGCTTTCAGGGGCCACAGATGCTGGCTGACTTCGTGGTGAGCGAGGACCTCCTGGTGGGAGGACCCTGCGCCAGGCTGCGGGGGTGGCCCGAGGCCCACCGGGATGGGCTTCCCCCTTCAAAAACGCAGAGTCTCTGGAAATGTAACAGATGAAGCTACACAGGGTGGGAGCCTCCAGTCCGTGAGCATTCACTGTCCCAGCCAGTGTTCCCACAATCCTCCTGCAATGTGATGCTTCCTTCGCGTTCTGAGTAATCAACGAACAGGGGCAGCGGCTGGCCGTGCTCCTGACATTCAATCCTCCGCAGCAACCCTGTGAGGTGCTGTTTCTGCCCCCATTTTACGGATGTGGAAGTCAAGGCTCAGAGAGTGGTGGTCACCTGCCCAAGGCCACCCAGCTTACGAAGAGTGGAGCTGGGGTTCTAACCCGGGATTGCCCTGATCCCCGTCCGAGGCCCACCCCGCAGCGGCCTCTGAGGCTCTGCAGGCTTCCTGGGAAGGCGAGGCTCTTGTTTCCACTTCGGAGGGCTCCCTGAGGCTTTGAGAGGTGAGGATGGGGGGAGCTCACCTCTTCATCCACAGGGAGCCCCAGCCTGGAATGCATGCCTGTGTGCCAGGCTGATGAGTGGCGAGGGTGAAGGGTGGCCATGAGAAGTGCCCCTCAGATCTCTGACACCCCCGGACTGCTCCTCCTGCCAGAAGCTGGGATCTGAGGCAGGTGCCCCCAATGGGCAACTTCTTCCCCAACCACTCTTGGATGATCTTCACGTCCTCCCACCCTCCCTCATTCCCTGCTGTCGGTCCTCCCAGCCTCCCAGCCCCATCCCCATTTCCTACACATTCTCTATCCTGGCACCCGATGTCAAAGAGGAGCCCACACAGGTGGATGCAAGGCCAAATGAGGCACCACACCGGAATCTAGGTTGTTCAGACTAGCAGGGGAGACAGACAGAGACACAAACTGGACCTGACAGAGGCATGGTGAGCCCAGGGGAAGCAGCGTGAGGAGGGGGTTCCCGCCCAGCCTGGGAGTCCTGAGGAATGTGTCCCTAAAAGTGGGCAGGAGTGGGACAAGCGGGAACAGCCTCTCAGGCCTCAGGAACAGAATGTGCAAAGGTCCAGAGGATAAGAAGGGCGTGGTCCATGGGAGGAGCCAGGGGTGGGAGGACGGGGAGGAATGAGGTGAGCTGCACCTTGAGGGCTCTGGGGGCCTGCTACAGGGTTCAGAGGTTGTTTTGAGGGCACCGAGCAGCGAGTCTGCCTTCTAGGAGTGTGTGTAGGCCAGGGGCCAGCGAGGAAGCGCCAGGTCCTCCAGAACACTGCTGCCTGGGTGGTGCTGCTGGGCCAGCAGCCTCAGCTCCGCTGGGAGCCTGTTAGCAAAGCAGCAGCGCAGGCCCACCCAGCCAGCCTGAGCCAGGATCAGCACTTTACCAGGGCCCCCTCGGACCTGTGTGTTTGTTAAGGACCGGGAAGCTCTGCTCTGGCTCAGAAACGTGGAGCCTGAACTCCAAAGCCGGCAGGGCGGTGGGAGGAGAAGCAGCTGGAAGTCCGGGTGACACACAGGCTTGGGAGATGGTGGGACCCAGGGGGGCTGGTGTGGAGGAGGGGCAGGATAGAGGCTTCCATTTCAGCCAGGAGGAATTTGTGGGGCGGGTACAGGAACAAGCACCAGGAGATGGAGTCAGGGAGACTGAGAAAGAGGGGGGAGAGGGAGGGAGGAAGATACTGAGAGGGCAGGAAAGAGAGACAGACAGACAGAAAAGGATGGGGAAAGCCTCCGGACAGCCGTGTAGGAAAGGAAGAGTTCCCCGCTTAGAAGCGGTAGCTCTCCAGAGCCTGGCTCAGCCATGTGACCACAGGCAGACCTCACTTTTCTCATCTTTAAAATGGGGCTGGTGCACTTGCAGCCTCAAGTAGCCGGAGAATTAAACGTCAGGGGAGATGGCAGTCAAAGGGCTTCCCCCTGTGCTGGGCACAGAGAAGTCCAGGAAGAGTTGGCAGCTATTGTTTAGGGGAGATGGAGGGAAGGAGGTAGCAGTCTCCGGCGGGGTCTCAGGGTCTCAGAGTGTGCCCGGACCAGCAGTGGGCACTGCGGGGAGCCTGCGCGAAATGCAGGCTCTCAGCCCCCCGCCCCTCCCAGAGGCTCAGGAGATGCTCTACGCGACCCAGGGGATGCACATTACCGCTGAAAGGCTAAGCGCGCATCTTCCCGGCACAGCGGGGTCACCTGGGTGCTTTTAAAAACTGCGGGGCCTGGGTCCCATCCCAGGGATCCAGAGTAATTGGCCTGAGGTGCGGCCAGGCACTGTAAAAGCTCTCAAAGGGCCCTAGCTGGTGTTGCTCAGCGGATAGAGCATCAGCCGGTGGACTGGAGGGTCCCAGGTTCGATTCCCATCAAAGGCACGTGCCCAGGTTGTGGGCTCGATCCCCAGTAGGGGGCGTGAAAGCCAATCAATGATTCTCCCTCATCACTGATGTTTCTCTCCCTCTCCCTCTCCCTTCTTCTCTGAAATAAATAAAAATATTTTTATTTATTTTTATTTTTTTAATTTTTAATTTTTTTATTAAATTATTATCTGAGTATATATACCATTGCCCCCCCCCATACATGTCCTACCTCCCCAGAGTTTTGTGTCCATTGGTTGTAAAAATATTTTTTTTAAACAAAAAAAGAGCTGTTGAAGGGATTCTAACGTGGAAGAAAAGATGCTAAGGAAGCTCTCCTCAGTGCCAGAGGATGGGCGGGAGCTGGAGGAACAGAGAGCCCTGGCCAGGCCTGCAAGGACAACGGGCACCTTTCTGGAGCATTCCCTGTGTGCCCAGCCCTGACAGAGGTTCATGGTCAATCAGTCCTCACCACAGCCCCGGGAGGTTGGGACCATTTCTGTCACCTCTTTTCAGACGGGGAAACTGAGGCACAGAGCGGTTAGACAATGCATACAAGGCCATCCGGGTAGCAAGTGGTGGGGCCAGGGCTCAAGCCCAGCACTTTGGACTCTAGAGCCCATGCTTCCACAGGCAGGGCTTTGGGGTGGGTGGTGGTAGCACACACCTGACCTCTCTCCCCCAGCCCTCCCCAGGCTGGGTCTCCCCCTCAGCGGTCCTGCAGCCAAGGTCAGATCATCCACAAATAAACCCAGGAACCCTGGGGGCCACCGTAAGAAAGACCTTAACACACACAGCACCTGCACAGCCCACTCTGATTTTATGGTCTACTCTCTCTCTTTTTTTAAGTGTGGGTCACCGCCCACTCAAGAGATTTTCTATCACATGCCATCCGGGGGATTGAACGACGATTTACGACGAAGTCCTCACAGATGAATCAATGTCAGGCCTCAGCTGTAAAACACTCCAGAGGAAAGAGGGCACATGGCACAGGCAGGCGTACAATGAGGGCAGGGGGTGCTGTCTGCTGCTGGCACTGAGAAATGGGGGTTCAGCACGCGCTTGTGTGTCTGAAAATAACAAAACAGTCAGAGGGGAGACCACTGTCAACCACGCACAGAACAGGCCCCACGTTTTTGATTTCTGACTTGGAGCACCGTGCTGGGTTCCGTAAGGGGGTCCTTGCTTTTAGGAAACCCTCAAGTGTTTGGGGTCAGGAGCCTCATTTCTGCAACTTCACTTTCAAACAGTTCAGCCAGAAAAGCATAACACGCACGAGTGGGTCCAGAGAGAGCCGATGAAGCACACGTGGCTCATGCTTCTGTCGGTGCTGGGTGGACAGCAGCACTCTGTGCTCTTGCATCTTTTTGGGAAACTTCAATGTATTGCAAGAGAAGAAGTCGGTTCAGGAAAGAGAAGCAGACAGAGGCAGAGCAAGTCAGCAGCTCACATCTCTGGGCCGGCACCACCCCCTTCAGTAGCAGCAGCCGAGGCGCGGCTTGGTGCCCGAGACCCCGCTTTCCTGGAACCTCTCTGGCCCCCGGAAGGCTCCGTGTGACGCCATCCTCAGCAGCAACACCTTCCAGAATTGTCTAGAACTGACAGGTTTCGACTCCAAAACTTGTGACTTAAAAAACAAAAAACAAAAACCAACTATCTCAAAACCCTCAGGGAAGGAAGAAAACACAACCAAACAAAAGGATGAGGACTGGGGAGTGGCCCCAGCCCGGGTCCAGGGAACGGCAGGGCAAGAGTAGGCAAACATCGCATCAAGGGTCATGTCTATGTGCAGCAATTCTGTTTCAGGTTTTTAAAAAATATATTTTTTTCATTGATTTGAGAGAGGAAGGGAGAGGAGAGGAGAGATGGAAACATCAATGATGAGAATCACTGATCGGCTGCCTCCTGCACGCCCCCTCACCCTTCCGTCCACAGGCCGATGCTCTATCCACTGAGCCAAACCGGCTAGGGCTCTATTTCAGGTTTTTAAATTCCCAGATGCAGAGTTGATGCAAGCCCACTTTTCTCATCCCAACGCAGCACGCTGCTGTGACTCTCGTCACTGTGCTTCTGCTCCCCACAAGGACAGAACAAGGCCGTGGGGTGGGGAGTGGCGGGGGAATGAGAACCAGGTATCTGGAGGGGCTGTGTGACCTTAGGCACGTCACCTGTCCCTCGGCGTCTGAGGTGCTGACGTTCTGCGCCCCAGGCTCAGGGTGCTCCTCTGTGGAGCAGGCATCCTGCCCCCAGCCTCTGGGACAGCCGTTCCTGTGGTCACTGTCGTCACTGTCACTATCACTGTCCTCATATCACAGAAGTATGAGT